CCTGTTTAAGGTTGTTTTTGCTTTCTTAACATAGATGGCTTCCTTCACACCCCTCTCCAACCACCTGTCTTCTTTGTCCAAAATGTGAACATTCTGGTTCTTGAAAGAATGTCCTTTGTCGTTAAGGTATAGATGTACTGCCAAGTCTTGTCCCAAGGAGGTCCCTCTTCTTTGTTGGCCATGCATCTGTGAAGAGGTTGTTTGGTTTGGGATTTTGTATTTGGAGAACATTTTTTTTAAGTTTTGAGAGACTCCAGCAACATATGGGATGGCATTGTTTTTGTGTTTAATCTTCTCATTGTTATGTTCTGCTGTATGTCCCAAAAAAGGACAATCTTTTGAGGACCACAATGTTCACATTTTGGACAAGAAGATAGGTGGTTTGTGAGGGGTGTGAAGGTAGCCATCTATGTCAAGAAAGAAAAACCAGGCACAAGGAGGGAGTTAGTCATCAGATTCTGAGTGTTGGGACAGGACAGTTCCAACAAAACAAACTGAAGTACGAACCTCCAAAGTCAATTATTTCTTGAGGTCAGGCTAAACTAAGAATGGAGCTTCTGAGATGGACTTCTTAAGTTCTTGAAAGGCAGAGTCAGCCTTAGGGGACCAGTAAGAGTTGGACTCAGAGGATGGGAGCTACAGTTTACCAGCTATATAACGGGAAATATCAGATTGGTGAACTTAGTTTTTACTTCCCAGGGAAGAAAGTATCAAAACCGGAGACTTTAAGAGGTTGTAACCCAGATAGTTCTGTCCATCGGTTTTTGACTTCAAGCTATTGCCATCTTTGCTTATGCAGCAAGAGAAATATCTAAAACACACAAAAAAGTCTACCTCTGAATGGTATAAAAAAAGTTTGGGAGTGACCTCGTTAAAGTTAAGTTTTAAATCCAACTAAAATAAATAAAAGTACATCTGTATTAGGCCAATTTTTTCCTTTTTTTTTGCACTTTGTATCTGTTATTTGTTTCCTATTTTACCAGTGTTGTGAATCCAAAGGAAAGGCATTGTTCTGCATTGCTGACACTCCTGTGTGTTTCTGTGGCAGCTATGAGTTGTCGGAGACTATCAGTGCAACTGTGTTCGTCTTCATGGTGCTTTAGCGAGGTGCTCCAAGAAAATGGATAAAGGTTGCTACGGTTGTCAGATGATGTTTCTTACTGAAAGCTGTTAGAGGAAGGGCGCCGAACAGGGCTTGTGACAGAAATAGTAGTATTAGATGCCAGCCTGCAGCAAGTACACAAAGAGCTGCTTCTCCATGTTTTCATCAGGTTCTGTTTCATTCAGGCCAGAGTACATGAGGATTATGATGGAAGTGCCCAGAGAAAAATATGAAAAAGTTTTAATAATTTCGCTCTAGATGAGCTTGTTTTAGGTGTGGTTTTTATTGCCTTTTTTCCAGTGTCTTTCAAAAGGG